CCCCCCGGCCCTCCCTCTCCCCTCCGGGTACCCACCCACCGAGCCCTTCGAGCGGCTCTCCTTCCGCGGACGGCTCCAGACTAGACCCTGCCTCCCCGGCGGTTCTGAATAACCCTCGCACCCCGTCCTCCCTAACCCGCTTTCCACCCAGATATCTAACTCCAACGCAGGTTTTCTCCTTCCCGGAGCGCCCAGCTCCTCCTCCGGGTCGGCTGGCTGACCCTGTTGCATCACCCTCTGAGAAGGTAGCCCTGCACCCGGGCCGCTCCTTTGACCTCCCTGCTCCCTCCGTTGCTTCTCTTCTTATTACACGGACTAATGGGGACAGGTCAAGGGAGTTGGGCATAAAGTTTCAGTAGCCTTCCCTGGACTATGTGGCGGTTCTTGACAGCCTGTGAAAACAACTGCCCGCGTCCACCTCTGCTCTGAAGCCATTTTTTAAGCACCGTTGTGTCCCTCAGTGATGTGGGCAGAAGGGCGGTAGGCGATACAGTTCGCAGGTGTTACTGGATAACTGCTGACCCGGTGTTACTGTTGGGGGTTGTCAGAACCGGTGTCCACAAAGATTGGGGGCTGGGCTTTGGCTTAATGTTCCCGCCTTACTCCCAGCGGGGCTTGGTGACGCCGGAAGACCCTGCGCCGGCTTTGTACCCCCGTTGCAGAGTGATGGCAGCGGCCAGTGGTTTTCAGGTGGGAGTAGGGGCAGGAGCCAGTCCAGCCGGGACAGCGGCCTTGCACTGACTGTCCTCCCTGGTCTTCACACTGTGTTGGTGAGCAGTATGTGGACACTCTGGCTGCCACTGCGTCCCCTCTTCTGGTTGGCATTCTGACTTATTTACTGTTACTTTGATTTTAGACTTTAATTAGAAATAGATTCAGATACACCTTTTAACCACCACGTTATAAAAGTAAAAGCAGATTGGCCGCTGGAGCTAGAAAGTGCCTTTGGATCCTTTACTAGGAATAACCCCTTAATATATTCTTTTCAGGTAGTACTGCTTTCATCTGGATGTTCGGTTGTTTCTGTGTAAAGATTTAAATAAAAGTAGGACTAGTGATAATTTGAATGAACATAGAATCAGAATTTTAGAGTTTAGAGATGATCTCACCTAACAAAACATTGTGTTTCAGAGGCTAGGCCTTTCCTGGTTTACTTTATTCAGCTGTAAAATGAGGACAATAATAGTATCTCACTTAAAAGGTTATCGTGAAGGTTCCATGAGTTAATATATGTAAGGACTTAGCACAGTGCCTTGCACACAGTGAGTACTCAATAAAACACGAACTATGGTTAATTTTTGGGTCCCTGCTTGTGTGACAGCGACAAGTACAAGTTGGACTTCTCCAGAAAAATCCAACAGCTAATTTTGTGAACAGTTAATTTTTTTTTATATATGTTCCCGGGTGGGGTGTATGAACCCCTAAAGCACATGCCTGAACCCCGCAAGGCATTTGGACCCAGGTGAATAAGCCCTGACTAGTTCAACCTCTCATGTTACGGCTGAGGAAACAGCCTAGAGGAGCGGTGAGAGGTGAGGTGTAGTGCCAGAGAACCCAGCTTTCTACTGGAGTACTTTCCCCTGGAGTACACACATATTCTGTGTACGTCATATCCCTAGGAGGACAGCGTTTTTAAAGAGGAAATTTAATAGTGTATGCTAACATATTCAGTGAATCCTTAGTGAACAGACTCTCTCTTTTAGATGAAGTAGGAATAGATATGGCAGACATTGGGAGAAATTGCTGGTCTCCTTGGGGTTGGGTGGTTGATGGAGTAGAAGGAGGAAATTATTCAGGGCTGCAGTTTCAGGGCTCCAGGAAGAGGTCTGGGACATTTGTCTGGTTGAAGGAAAGGTCAGACTCCTGGGGCCTTTGTATTTGTTTGACTTGGAATAACTGGCTAAGCATGTGTGACATTTGTGCCTCTCTGAGGTCTCCACTGCACCTGCGGAGGCTGGCCCGCCTGGAGGGGAACTAGCTGCTGTGGCTTGCCAAACCTGAGCGGGAGAGAGGAAAGAGACTGAGTTACTAGGCTAAGTAAACATTTGTAGGCGTTTAATAATTACTTGTTGCTGATGATGACAGTGCCCCTTGACTTGGAGGGAAGTGTCTGATAGCAGGAAAGATATCCCAGTGACTTCCAGAGTATGTTTAATTTTAGTCACAAAGTTTCAGATATTAAAGTGTCTTGTTGGAATGCATCTTCCGTATTAGTAGAGTATTTTGGTAAACAAGATTTGAGGGAAGTGGTATTTAAAATATTTTTGTTAAGTGCCTACTCTAGACAAGGCTCTGACCTGGGCACTGGGGATTCAGCAGGGAAGAAGAAATATAAATGTCTTTTAAGGGCTTTAACCTATGGTTTGAGTGATTGCTGTGTAATACAAGTAGCTTCAATGCACAGTTTTCATTTAAATAGACCCAGGAGAAGACCTTCACTTAGAAACAAAAGTGATCATTTTAAAAATATCCAAATTGATTTTTCACTAAATTAGATTTTTCTTGTTTTAGCTAATGACCTTAGCTAATGACCTTCTGTTACACAAGTAAGAGGAAATATGATTGTGAAGTAAGTCAGGGGACTATGGTTCATGGAAAGAGCAAGGACTCTGGAGCCAAACAAGCCAGATGCACCTTCCAGCTCTGCCACTTTAATGAAAAGGGCAGCCTTTCTGAGCCTTAGTGTTTTATCTGTAAAATGAGAATAAGGAAGAATACTACGTACCCAGCAGATTTTTTTGAGGATTGGGGATAAAGTATTTATTGTAGTACCTAGCATGTAAATAGGGTTTAATAAAGAGTAGCTATTATAACATGGCCAGAGAAGTTAGGAACACTAACCACAGTGTGAATCACAGCAACCCACCTGACTGGCTATTTTAGAAACCAATTAGAAGTCTTAATTATTTACTCCAAATAGTTACAGGAAATATGACCTTGAGTGACAGAGACATAGCTGATAAACATGGTAGGTATTTTGAAAATACAAACATTAGGTGAAATTCAGAGGCATAGAAAATTTCAGAATCCTTATGGAGAATAAGAGAGTCTGACTGTGCGCTCAGCCCTCTTAGTTCCTGATCAGTGCCTCCACTCGTTAGTATTTTTTTTAGTAATATATTTTTATTGATTTCAGAGAGGAAGGGAGAGGGAGAGAGAGATAGAAACATCAATGATGAGAGAGAATCATTAATCAGCTGCCTCCTGCACACTGGGGATCCAGCCTGAAACCCAGGCATGTGCCCTTGACTGGGATCGAACCCGGGACCCTTCAGACCTCAGCATAGGTGAAATAGTTGAAATGTATACACTAGGTTGGGTCCTTAGAGGATATATTTATTTAGAGAGTCTAAGAAGATAGCACAATTATATACTGTATTCTTAGAGTGAACAGAAAATAGAAGTCATTTAGTTACCCTCACCTAATATAGAATCTGCTTGAGTAATAATCTGTAAGTATAACATTAATCACTGAAAAAATTTCTTTTTAACACAGCTCAATTCTCTACAGCCACTGGAGTGCATCCTCCACGATGGCAGGGATTGTGTCCCTTGGCTGCTTCGAAAACCAGAGAATTTGAGGACGCTTTGAGTGGGTGAAGTGGGTGCAGGAGTACAGGCAGGAACTCGGGGAACCTTAGACTTGAGAAGTACAGGGATGAGTGGGTGAGGAGGTCTGAAGGGTAATGAAATCCAATTCACCCTATATCATTAAGGGATCTTTTATATTTGTGTGATGAGGCAAGTACTTGCTACTGGTGATGATTGTAGATACTAAGAACACTTTCCAGTATTTATAAGCAATAGACTCAATATCTATAGTAAAGGGGAAATCTAATGTTTAAAATAATATATATTAGTGTATTATTAATTAGTTTTACCTTCTTGCCATAAAAACAAGGACTTGATGTATTATAAAGTATTTGTTTTACTTGCCTATAGCAATTGTTATTTTACATGTATTATCAGTCTTTATAGTACATTGGTCATGTGTAGCTTGGATCTCATCTATCTCATCACTTGAAAAATTAGAACATTGATGGTGAGAGGCCAGTATATTTAAGTCTCTGACTTATGGAAGTTTATGCTCTCAAACTTTATTTCTAAGTTTGAAATTTGGAGTGTATAGTCCAGTAGAAATCCTATATAATAAAAGTCTAATATGCTAAGTGTCTGGTTGTCTAGTTGGCTGTTCAACCAATCAAAGCTAATAATATGCTAAGGCTGCTCAACCGCTTGCTATGATGTGCACTGACCACCCGGGGGCAGACAGTCGACCAGTCGACCAGTTGCTATGATGTGCACTCACCACCAGAGGGCAGACGCTCCAACTGGTAGGTTAGCTTGTTGCTTGGGGTCTGGCCAATCGGGACTGAGTGAGACATGCCCTGGAGCCCTCCCGCGGTCCCTCCCCAGATGGCCAACCTTCTGTGTCCCTCCCCGCCCCCGATCATGTACTGGTGGGGTCCCTCGGCCTGGCCTGCACCTTC